CGTCTTCTCTTGCCAAATTGTGATCCATCACTTCCACCATGAGTATTAGGTGTAGGCTGTTGACCCTATAAATTTACATTGATTACAGAGATGAACTCGTTGATTTTTTAAATACATTTGCAAATTCAAATAAAACCATAACTGCAAAAGATGTGCAAGATTTTTTTGAGGTAATAACTTTTTTATGTAAGATAAAATGGTTTTTCTGTATCTGTATTAATATAATGAAATTTTCTTTTTATGTTTAGGAAAAGATAAGCCAAAGAAGAATTAATAATCAGAATGCAAATAGATTTTTTTAAAATATATATACACAAATATATATTATATAAATAAATGAATATAAATAAAAAAATTATCTTGTAAAAAATAAAAAACAATTATATTATATCTATACACACACACGTATATATCAGATGGTTTGTTCAATTGTTTCCTTATTCTTTAAATTATCATCATTTTCATCAACAGCAACTTTCTGATCAATTTCTACAAATTCAGTAACTGGAATGTCTGGAAAAACCCTCATCCAAAGTTTTGCTTCTTTTATTGGTTTTAACTTACATTTAATGCATTATGTGCTGCTGTCAACTGAGCTGAAGTTAGACATACTCCATGTGTAATTCTTAGCCTGTATTCTCCAAACACTATTGTATTACCTTTTGTTGAGCCACCCACACGTACTGGAACTCTACCTTTATGAGCTTTACAATATTTAGTTTTACGTGGTGCAAAATCTGATCTGTAACACCTTTGTTCTAAATTTAAAAAAATATTAACTGGCTTTTTTTTTAATTGTTGTTGAAGTTGTCACTGCTGTTGATAAATCAAGAAAGGTAAATGAAGATGTGTATGTAGTAGGTGGTGCAAATGATAGTGAAAGGCGAGAATGATTTATTAATTGTTGAATAATGATGATTTTTTTGTTTCGTGGATTCTTTTAATAATATTATTGTTATTATGAAAAAGCATTGATATTGTATTTTGAAAAGAAAAAATTTTCAAAGCCATTTTTTTTTTTAAAAAATTTTATTCAAATACATTTTATTTTATTAACAACCAATTAGAAATATATATATATAAAACAAATCAACAAGCTTTCTCTTTCTCTTGTACGTAGGTTTATTTTTTTATTGATAATTAATCAATAAATGAACAAACAGGAACATGATTAATCCAAAATATTAATTAAAATTAATTATTATAAAATTTCACATATAAATTATTTAAATAAAATTTTGTCATTAATTTATTAATATTAATTTAATCAACTCCATATTCAGTTTCAAAATCTTTTCGTCTTCTCTTGCCAAATTGTGATCCATCACTTCCACCATGAGTATTAGGTGTAGGCTGTTGACCCTATATATGCACACACACACACACACACACACACACACACACACACACACACATTTATATACATTTAGACTTATTAATAAATAATTTTAATGTGATATTAAAATATATAAATGACATATTATAAAACAATAGCAACATTTACCCGATTCTGTTTTCCAAAAAATTCTCCTTGACGAACTCTTCCTGATGCACCTCCCCCGCCACTGCCTCCACCACCACCATCACGGTATCTCGATGATTGAGTATTACCATCAGCACGAGATGGACTATCACCTCTAGTTCTATCTCTTGATTGTAGTATTTGCGAAAATTGGTGTGATGATGTTGATGATGATGATGTTTGATCGACTGTTGTAGTTTTAGTACCAGTTATTACACCTGATGCGGTTGGAATAATTGGAAAATTGATATTTCGTATTAAATCTGTTATTGTGTCAACATTGATAAAAGGACCTACCAAAAAAATTTTATTGGGAAATAATAGATATAATCAAACATTATGTAAACCTTTGTTTTTAAAAACAAGTGATAATAAATTTATTTTTCTTCATACCAGTATAACTTGTCGGTGGTGGTAATCTTACCAAAAACTTTGCAATTGAATCTGGTAATGTTAACCCATTTGGTAACATTGTCCAAGTTAGAGGCTGTTGTATATAATTTTGAGGAGGAGGTGGTGGCGGTGGTGGCGGGGATGGTTGCATGCTAGATACATTTGGTATGGGTTGAGATATATTTGCTGTACCTTTTTTGTGTTGTAGATGTGTTGCTGTTGGTTGAGAAAACATAGATGGTGATGATGTTGCTGTTGATGTTGATGATGTTATTGATGTTGATGATGTAGTTGATGTTGATTGATTTAGAGATGATAGTGATGAACTTCCTGTTACGTTTTGAGTAGTGGGTGCTTGTTGTTGTTGTCTACGTAATTGTTCAGCTGGTTTATATGGAACCCATTGTCTAAAATCTGGTCGTGGATATTTTTCTGGATGCACAGAATCTAATAAGGCACGACGAACTGGTGCCGATTCTTTCTCTTCTTCGATTTGAGGAGATTCAATTATTGATGATAATTTGGTTGTTTCAAATTTAGCTAAATAAAATAAAATTTTATATGAATTATTATCGAAATAAAAATAATTTTTTTTTAAAATACAAAATAAAAAAATGAATTTTCATACATTTTTGCCCTAATTCCTCATTTAGTATTGAATATGTATTTAGATAGCTGAAACGATTCACAAATCGATTTAACATTGAATCTATATATATGTACATATATCCAGACATATATATAGTAATAATACTGTTGTTAATAATAATTTGCAGTGAGTGTTAAAAAAAAATGCATTAGTAATTAATAATACCTTCTGGATATTCTTTTGCTTGTCTTTCATTAATTTTATAAATTGATGCAAGATCACCATAATTATTTTCATAATCAGAGAATTTTTT